CATCCTGCTGGAATTACAGAAGGGCAGAAAAAATGACGGCCAGTACTGGAAACCAGCCAGGACGCTGACACAAGCCTACATGGGAAAGTGCTCTGGCATCTGTATTGACTGGGGATAATTGGAATTTCCCTTTTTTTTTTCAGCTTATTCTAGAACCAGTTAGTAGCAACAGTCAGGCAAGGAGTGCACGGTGAGAGAGCTGCATTCCTGTGCTGCTGTGGTGGCAGCTGCGGGCTGAAGTGTGGCCGGCAGTGATGTTTCCCAAGGTACTTGTGGCTGTTGCCAGCTCTGAGGTGATGGTGATTGCAACACTGACTGTGTACTGCCTGCTCAACAGTGTTAGTATGCCTTAAGAGGGGCATATAAATAACTTTTTGTCTCTTAGAATGAGCACTTTTTTTAGCTTCTGCTGCCTTGTGCAGGAAAAGTTTCATTTCCTTTATAACTCTTAGTCACAGGCACTTGTTTGGGAATGTAATGGAAAACTGTCCTCTGAACTGACTTTCAGGCTTATTTTTTTGTTTTTCTCTCTGGATTTATTTGCTGTATTGCATCCAAAGTGCAAATTAGTCCCTTGCCTTTCCCTTTCCATACCTGTACTGGAAAAAGGCTCTACCTGGGAAGATGCGAGGGTGTCCTAGTGCCTGGGTTACTTTGCTTCCAAGCTGTGCTGTTGTGTGACCATGGCCATGTGCAGCACAGCTCTCTGACTACACCTGAGGCAGCAGAGGCTCTTGAGCTGACCTTGGCTGGCTTGGACATAAATTCTGGTGTGTCTGTGTGTTGTGCTGGAGCTGGCGTATTGCATTACAGCTGGCAGTTTCTGGCTGTTGAAAGGGTTGTCTTACTTGCTGGTCACTGAGAATAGAAGTTTAATGTTCCTGTAATGTGCATCTGGTGGTGCCTCATAATAAGTGCTTGTCAATTTGCCTCTGATGTATTTCCTTTTATCTTTGTCCAGATTTAGCAAAATTGGGGGTTGGACTGGGATAAACCAGGAAGAAGCTGGTTGTGGTCTGAGACCCTGGGAGCTGAGGCATCTGGGGTGGTGATGGTACAGATAGGTAGTGTGCAAGGGGAAGGGATAAACAGTGGGGAGTTCACAAGGTAGTAGCTAAAATGTACTGGTTCTAACGTTGTTCTGAGAAAAACATCCAAGTTCAGTTAAGTGCTGTGTGAGTGGTGTAAGCAAAACATGCGTGTTCAGCGCAGCAGTGAGCAGTCTCCCTGGCAGCCAGCAGGAGCCGGGCAGCACCTGGCCTCAGTGCTGCAGCCCGCAGGAGAGGATGCCCATCAGCTTCTGCGAACAAATCCCTCTTCGACAGAGTAATGCTGTGTGGTAGGTGAGAGAAAACTCTGAAGTCCATTCAAAGTCTTCCCAAGGCCGTGTGGGCTGTGGTCCGGGTGCTTGATTGCTTGGTGCCTTCCTGGGCTGTGCTGTGCAGCCGCGCTGCCCGGGGCTCTCTGACGCTGCCAGGTGAAGATTTCAGCCATCTGCTGGGTCCTCCTGCTCTCTGTCATACTTTGCTGAGAGGTGAGCTGCTTTTTGTGCCTGCTGCTTACCAAGGAAGTTGTTGCTGTGGGAGTACAGAAGCCAGTCTGGAGGTGCTCGACCTTCACAAAATTATTCCAAATGTCCTGCAAACGGCCTTCGATCTTGTTTTCCTTGAAGCTGTTTGTGTATGAGCAATGCAGCAAGCAGTTGCTGTTGTTTGAACTTCTCTCTCCCTTTCTGCTTCCTTCATCCTCCTGCCTTTTTGCTGAGTGCTTTGCAGTCCTGCTCTCTGCATGCAAGGCTGATGGTGCTGAAGCCAATTAGCAGCAGAAGGTGTAATAAATGCTGAGGAATTCAAATTGAGGTGGCATTTTCCACACCGTCTCAGATTTTAAAATGTGCAGTGGCTACCTGAGGGAAGTTAGATGTTCTTGATGTTGCTGTGCCTTTCTGGACTACATCCGGGTACAGCAAAAAAAAATAAAAAATAGGCTGTTAACTGTTATTTGGAGGGAATATTATGCCCTATTTTAACTAAGGCAATTGGAGCGGAGGACATAATAGTTGCTTAGAAAGTAAAATTTAGACATCCTCTCTTGAATGGATGTGGATCATCAAGTCTTGCATCTCATATAGCACAGATGCTTACTGTAGGTTCCTGTATAAAAATTGCTATATGTAGCCTGATTAAATCAATACTTGTTTTCTCTGGAGAGAAGCATGCTGCTTTTACTAGTAGCAAAATTGCCATGCTTTAATCAGCTGTCAGTGGGAGTTTAATAATAAAGTAACCAAATTGGTAGGTGTGTTTGCAGGCAAAATAAGTTAAATGATTTTGAACAGCTTCCATTTGTGGTGGTGTCAGCTGAAGTTTTCAGGATTTGAAGATAAGGAAGAGAAGGACACAAGAAGGTAATTTTCCTTTGACTTGTGTAGGAACATCAGATGCACGCCAACTTCTCAGCAAACTCTGCAGTCATCTTCCTTGGGAGCAGTTCCACCTGATGTATGCAGCTCTTGCTTGCTCCACTTGGAAGATGCTCCAGGCCATATTTCTGTCAGGTCCCAGTATGCTGGTGTTGCAGGCCTGTATCAGAAAGCATTTTTTAATTCTTAATTTCTCTTTTCTTTGAGCTGTTGGGGTGGTTTATCTCTCTTGCCGAGGCTGTAGTTTCCTTTGCCAGTTGGCCCTGGTTGCTTGTAAGAAAACCTGCATGATGTACATATCCTAGAAAGGGTGCTTTAGGAGTGCAGTGGTTAATTAGTACAGGATCCAGAGTAGAGGAAAGGTATCTTGCACAACACTCTGCTGATGAGATCTGTGGCTGGTGTGAAGAGTTACCAGCTCCACTTTAGCTGAAGCAAATATTTAGAACAAGATGGTCCTTGAATTTAGTGGATCTGTAGTTTTTGTTTTTTAAAAAAATAAAAAAGTGTCAATTGATCTATTTTTGCTGCTGCTCAGCATGTGTTCTTGTCTGCTGAGCGTGGTACAGTGAGCAGAGAGAGGGTGTCCTGCTGGCTTCCTGGCCTGGCGGGAGGAGCTGCGAGAAGAGAAATGAGAGGAGGGGAAGCTTCTGGTGGACAACTTCGGAGTTTCTCATTTTAAAATAAACGCAGGTCTTGTGATTCACTAAACATTTTGATGGTGACTGAGGCTCTGTAATAAAACTAAAAAAAGTGTTTTCCCTAGGATTTCCGTGATCCATAGAAATATTATACAGAAAAAAAAACAAGCCCAAACCTGATCTCTCCAATGATTTTTTTAAAAGTGTGATATTTTAAGAAGGTGGGAAAGTGATGCTGATTATGAGTTCCTTATTTCTTACAGCTCCATTACAGGCTATAAGGTGTGTGTGTGGAATCAGTTGCGTGCTGTCTTGCTTTCTTCGGCATAGACATCCATTGGGCTAAAGATAGCACAGTGCAATGTGCAGATTTGTTCCCCAGGAATGAGACAAATGTGGCCAGGATAGGACAAAAAGGCTGCGGGTTTAGGAGTTCTTAAAAATGACGTGTAATTTGAGATGCTCAACTTGAAGCAGCTTAAGGGAGAGAGACAGGGTTATTTTTGTGTCTGAATTTGAGCAAAGAAATTAGGCCCTCCAGAGCTGCAAGGGTTTTCAACCCTCTCTAGCAGGACTGAGCAGCATGTGTATGGCTTTCTGTGTCCCAGGGCCATGTCCCATTTTTCTGAATTTGAATATCCATTTTGCAGACTGGTTACAGTTCTTTAAGAACCTGAATTGAGATCTTCCCACTTGCCTCTCCCCACACACCAGTGACATCTTTTTTTGCAGTTTCTCTGGGGCAGCTCTGCATTACCTCTGCTCCTAAAAGTCAGCGGGGCTTCCCTGGAAAACCCACTGGGTCTGGTTCCCATGACAAATTATGACGTGCAAAATGAAGTCCTTTGCTAAGAGATCACCGTTTAGCAGCCCTGGCATGGATGTACATTATCTGCACACAACTCTTCTATGCTTGTTTTAGAAGATGGGCTTTGGAGTGTCCAACCCATTTGTTGATCAGTGAGGAGGGCTGTACTTTGAACGTAGCAGTGTTGCCTGTTCATTTGTTCCTTTTCAATCTTTTCTTAGTAAAAACAAATTCCAGTTCTAGTAAAAGCTTCAATGGGCCTTTTGGCTGTATTTGATTTGTGAACAGCTTGTAAGCACCAGTTGTTGCAAGATTGGTGTTGTCAAATGCAATATATTTTAACACTAAGTCTTACAGAAATGGGGTTTGTTTTGCTTGTTGAATTTTATATGACAGGATGGAGCTTATCTGAGTGCCAAATAACCATTAGTAATAATTATGTACAAACACGTCAAATCTAATCATGTATGTATTGTTGATCATGTGGTTTCTGGCAGCTTTTAAAGAATGGGATATGGTAAGAATCATTTAAAGGCTCAAACCCTGTAAATGGGAGCTCTTTGGGAAGAGACTGAGTTTTTATAGAATCACTACTCTTGGTGATTTCTTGGTGGACCACAAAATGAATTATTTTTTTCTTGTTCTGTCCTTCTTTTAAAAGCGCTAACATCAAATCATGTGTGGGAGATAGATTTCTTCTGTTTCTTACATTACAAAGCTGGTTTGTGCAACTTAGATGCTTCAAAAGTTGAGGAGCCTTTTAGATTCAGGCCTTTAGTAATTCACTAAATGATCTGTAGCTCTGATTTCTGTCCAAGGCGGTGTTGCTGTTTATACTTCATCTTTCTGCATCGTAATGGAAATTGGTGGCGCAATGAAGGACTGTCTGACAGGACAAGAACCAGTGTAATTGCTTGTTATTACTGAGATGTTAAATGTCTATGCAGAGCTGGAGTCTCTGCAGCTACAGAGATGTAAGGGGTGCTACCACCATGGTGCTGTTGGTAGCTGTGGTGTGTCTTCCCTCTTCTGACTGTACTCAGAAGGCAGGTGGAGGCAGGGACGAGGATTGGAAACAAGAACTGAGAAGTTTCTTTTGTACTGAATGGGATAACTTTGTTTTCTGCAGGTGGATTTGCAATAGTGTTTCTTGTGAGGACTAACAATGGGATGAAATGTGCCCTGAAGCGGATGTATGTCAATAACGAATACGACTTGCAAGTCTGCAAAAGAGAAATCCAAATCATGGTAAGTCAACACGTTGTGGTGGGGACCCTGACTAGGAGGGGAATGTCGTGAGAGCCCGGTCACCTTCTGCCTTCGAGCTGTGTAGTGTTGCATCACAAACTGTGGGTGTTAGTAAAATTGTCATTCTTCTAGAAAGACCTAGCTCTTAGAGTTGTACAGCTATGTGAAAAATCTTAGATTGAATTGTTTAAAACCTAAATTGTTTTAGTGGTCAAGAAAAACACAGCAGCTGAAAAGGCAGAGGGAATCTCAGGAAAAGGAGGGCATTAAAAATCTTCTATGTCAACACCAGACTTGGTGGGAAAGGGAAGAGCTGAATAAGTGTGTGTGGTTGGGGGTGTTTCTCTTCTAGGTTTCATCTTGAAGGCTAATAATTCTGATACAGCAGTTTCTGAACTCAAATCAGTACGCGAATGGAAGACTTCCATGCCAAGATGAATTTGTCACAACAGCTTCTAATCTTGTGGTTTAGGATGAGGGCTGTATCAGTATAGGTGAAGCTGATGGGTTGAAACCAGTATGTGTGGGGTAGTTATTGCCTTGGCTTGTTTCTATAGATTATTGGATGCAAGGCATTAGGTAATAGGATAGCTATTTTAGTAGTTGTTTTAAACAATTATTAATCTCCGAACAAATAAAAAGTTGAGATCTAAATGGATTTGGTTAGTCTTGCTTGGAGCATAATGAATGTGGGAAGTGCCACTTTTGAAATTGTATTTGCAAGGTATAGAAGAACATTTTGAATAACTGAAGTGGGGGAGAAAATAGAAAATATGCATTCTGCTAATTGATAACGTGAAGTATTTGTTTGGGATAGGCTTCTTATCAGAAGCTCTTACCTGTAGCAAATCGGAGTTTTTTTTAAAGTAGCTTTTAATTAGGTTAATATCTTCAAAGCTAACTTCTGGATTTTGTGAGAGTGCAGCGAGGTTTTGGGGCATACTTTGTCATCACCATAGCTAATGCTACTTGGGAAAGGTTGAGATTAGATCTTACATCAAAGGTTTTAACTGTGCTCACAAAGCTTGTTTACTTGGATTTTAATTGCCAGTGCTTTCCATTGTCTCTATCTTTTTGGTGTCTCTTTGAAATGTGTGGCTAACCTGGGAAGCAAATGCAAGAAGTGTCCTTCTGACATGCTCACTCTCATATTGAATCTTATCATAAGCACTAATCTTTGTGAAAAACAAGTACATCAGTAAAAGGAAATTTTCTTTCCTAGCTTTTGTGCAGTAAAGAAGCATTTTAAAGTTAGCTTTCTGCAGCACTGCAGAATTACTGAGGAGAGCAAAATGTTACCAGCAAAATCTAGATTTCTTTTGCTGGTAAAGCTGAGCACAGCATGGGAGTGGCTGTCACACCTGAAAATGTCTGTAACGCTGGCAGTCACAAAAATGACTTCCCTGCAGATTCAGCATGTCATAGGTAAGTCAACAGTATGAGAACTTGTGCTTTAATCATCAAGGCATGTAAAATAAGGTACTTCTAAAACCAACCTAACTTTTGTTTTTTTAATTACCTGAGTGGTTTTTAAGCATGCAAAGATTTGTGATAATGTTTTTTAGTGGAAGGAGAGGAGAAAAGTAAGCAGAACATGCATTGTACACAGCCACTGCAAAACATCTGCTTTGTTTCCCCCCCTACATAAAGGAGGAGCAGCTGCAGTGAGCTTGGCCTGGGCCATCCAAGGGAACATCCAAAAATCTGGACTCGCTGACCCCTGAAAAAGTTAGTTCAATAGGTTGGTTGGTTCTCTGTTGTTTGTCTCAGCTCCTTCTGGAAGGAGAACAGGTAGAGACAGACCTTCTATTTGATCAAGTTGTATGCAGTGATTAATCCAAAGTGTCAAAAGCTTGTGCTTAGGCAGGGAAAGAACTAGGAAAGCTGTGCATTGTAGATCAAAGTGCTGCTCATTCTATATGGCTGTCTTATGCTTTGAATGTATTTACCTTGCAGCGGGATCTATCTGGCCATAAGAACATTGTCGGATACATTGATTCCAGTATCAACTCAGTAAGCAGTGGTGATGTTTGGGAAGTGCTGATACTAATGGACTTCTGCCGAGGTGAGTGTGGGCTCACAGTATTCCTCACTGGTAGATAGGCCCTTTCCAGTGCTTACAGGGAACTTGCACAAGTCAGGTGGGTTTTTGTTTGTTGGTTTTGGTTGTCTTTTTTGTTTGTTTTCTAAATGAAAGGATCAAGCAACTTTATTCCTAGGCCTGGTCCATCCTTCAGTACCAAAGAACTGTTCTGAACAATGCAAAGCTAAACTAAATGTAGAGAAGTGGATGATATGTGAGGCTCTGATAGGACTGTTACCACTTTTGCCACTGCCCAGGATGGCTCTAGATCCTTTCCCTTGTGAAAGGAACCCTTCAGTATGTATTAGTTTTCTATAGGCTGGACACAAAAAGTTGCTCTCCTATAGCGGTTAGGCTGTGGAATGAAATTGTTCTTCACAGTATGTCATACTGCAAGCTTTTTCTGTTTCAGTTTGACTTAGGATTATTCTTGAAGAAGCTTGAAATGGGTAATGTGAAGCCAAAAAGCATTACTTTTACCTCTGACCTTTGTGCTCGTCTCTCTCTAGCCAGACAGACTCTTCCACTTTTTTTTTCAGATGTCCCAAAGCTTTTATCTCCTCAGAATTAAACCTTGCAAGAGGGCTCAATGACAACAGAAAGGGCTTCTTCAAATACATTGCAGATAAAAACTAACAGTAGAGTCAATGTGGGCCCACTGATGAATGAGGTGGGTGCCCTGGTGACAGAAAATAAAGAGGAGGCAGAGTTACTGAATGCTTTTTTTGTCTCTGTCTATAATGCTGGAGGCTGTCCTGTGGAGCACCGTATCTCTGAGGTCCCAGAGGAAATCAGGATAAAGGAAGAGTTTGCCTCAGTTGATGAGGACTGGGTAAAGGACCAATTAAGCAATTTGTACATCCATAAGTCTATGGGTCCTGATGGGATGCACCCATGGGTGCTGAGGGAGCTGGCAGAAGTCATTGCTAGGCCACTCTCAATCATCTTTGGTAAGTTGTGTGCATCGGGAGAGGTGCCTGGAGGAAAGCAAATGTCACTCCAGTCTTCAAAAAGGGCAAGAAGGAGGACTCAAGTAACTATAGGCCGGTCAACCTCACCTCCATCCCTGGTAAGGTGATGGAACAACTTGTCCTTGGCTCTGTCTCTAGGCATATCAAGGATAAGAGGGTATTAGGGGCAGTCAGCATGGCTTCACCAAGGGGAAGTCATGCTTAATCAACCTGATAGCCTTTTATGAAGACGTAACCAGGTGGAGGGATGATGGTGTAAAGCAGTGGACGTGACTATCTTGATTTCAGTAAAGCCATTGACACTGTCTCCCACAGCATCCTCACAGCTAAACTGAGGATGTGTGGTCTGGACGATCGGGTAGTGAGGTGAACTGCCCGAAGAAAAGAAGCCAGAGGGTTGTGGTCAATGGGATGGAATCAAGCTGGAGACCTGTAGCTAGTGGACCCTCAAGGGTCAGCACTAGCACCAGCATTGTTCAATATATTCATCAGCTACCTGGATGAGGAAACAGAGTGCACTGTCAGCAAGTTTGCTGATGACACTGAACAGGAAGGGAGTGGCTGACACTCCAGAAGGCTGTGCTGCCATCCAGTGGGACCTCAACAGGTTGGAGAATCGGGTGGGGAGAAGTTTAATGAAATATAATGAGGTCAAGTGTAGAGTCCTGCATCTGGGCAAGAACAACTGCAGACACCAAGATAAGTTGGGGTGCCCTGCTGGAAAGCGGTGAAGGGGGGTCCTGGTGGACAGTTGGATGACCATGAGCCAGCACTGTGCCCTTGTGGCCAAGAAGGCCGATGGCATTCTGGGGTGTATCAGAAGGGGTGTGATTAGTAAGTCAGGAGAGATTCTCCTCCCCCTCTACTCTGCCCTGGTGAGACCACATCTAGAATATTGCAGCCAGTTCTGGGCCCCTCAGTTCAAGAAGGACAGGGAACTGCTTGAGAGAGTCCAGCACAGAGCCACGAGGATGATTAAGGGAGTGGAACATCTCCCTTATGAGGAAAGGCTGAGGGAACTGTGCCACTTCAGCTTGGAGAAGAGGAGACTGAGGGGTGACCTTATTTATGTTTATAAATCTGTAAAGAGTGGGTGTCAGGAGGATGAAGCCAGGCTCTTCTCAGTGACATCTAATGATAAGACAAGGGGCAATGGATGCAAACTGGAACACAGGAGGTTCATCTTAAATAAGAGAAGAAATTTCTTCATGGTGAGGGTGACAGAACTCTGGAACAGGCTGCCCAGGGGGGTTGTGGAGTCTTCTCTGGAGACATTCAAAACCTGCCTGGATGTGTTCCTGTGTGACCTGATCTAGGTGTTCCTGCTCCAGCAGGGGGATTGGACTAGGTGGTCTCCCTTCCGATCCCTAGGATCCCTAGCATTCTGTGATATATTGAATTTCCCCTCGTTACTCTGTCTGTGATGAACAGCTGCTTAAACCAAGTTAATGCATGTTTATGTGCAGAACTGCACTCGTTTTGAGCGCAAAATATTCACAGCTGTACTACTTACTGGGCTCAGCTTTTCTTTAGAACTTTTGTACCTTGGTTATGAAGTTTTCCAACACTTATGTTAAACAATACAGTTCCCTTTGCCAATGGTTCAGAAATGTACTGTTGTGTTGTTTTTGTTTGTTTTTTTTTTCCCCTCTGTGTATTGAAGATGTTTAGAGGGGGAAGAACTTCTCTGTGGATTTTTTTTTTTTGAAAAATCCTTGACAGCAAGAGAATCTCAAAGTTGAGGCAAATCCAGGACTCACTCAAAGAGTAACAAATGTGGAAGGTTCCGCTTGTACAGACAGATTTTGCCAGTCTATGATTTTGGCCAAACCACTTAGTAACATATGTTTTACGGAGTCTTTTTCCTCCCTCTTGCAGACTGTTTCGTGGACTGTGGGTTCCCCACATTCAGCATTATATTCATCTAGTCTGACAAAAACTTTTACTTTTGAGGACGAAAGAAAAAACATTGCTTATTCGGAATTATATTTCAGTGTTAACACGGTGAGGTGATGAGGGCCTTAGAAGGTAACTTGCTGCTGTTGAAGCGTAGTCCAAAGACAAAATAAGATGCGTCATCTGCTGGCAGATGTGAAAAATCCCCTTGGATTTAGGCAAAGAGGGAAGAAAATTAAACAAGATGATGAAGCAGGTTTCCAAAAACCTTGTGGGGAGGCTGGGGGGGGGGGGGCGAGAGAGAAGCTTGTTACAAACTTTGAATGTGAACTCATGAATATTGCATGCTGACTGTGCAGCCACAGTTCAGTGAGCAGTCTAAGACAAAGTAGGTCTGGTAGGACTGGGGCTTGGACAAGACTGGATCCGATTTGGCACACTTGCTCTCATTCTTGGCTTTTTTCTCCTCAGGAGGGCAGGTGGTGAACCTCATGAACCAACGCCTGCAGACAGGTTTCACTGAGAATGAGGTCCTGCAGATCTTTTGTGACACCTGTGAAGCTGTAGCGAGGCTGCATCAGTGTAAAACACCAATAATCCACAGGGATCTGAAGGTGAGTTGTGGACTCCAGTAATACAGGAGAGCACATGCATGCTTACACCATGGCAGACAGGCTTTGAAAGCTGGTCCTGTGTTTCTGTCCTTAGTAATAAGGGAAAGTTGGGTATAAATGCCTCTCTCTCTTGGAAGATTTTTGGGGGAAATAATGTCTCTCGTTGGGGCTTACTGTATGTTTGCCATCTATAGATCTACTTTATAAACACAAATATTTGAATAATTTTGTTTGCACAGATGTGCCAGAATGTATCCGATGAATTATTCACAGTGACTTTCTACCACCTGGAATGCTGTTGATATTATAAGGTAGTTCACAAAAAGTGTGCTGTAAATCCATTTCCTGGACCCACATTAAAAGGATCACCCCAGAGATGTTGGCCTTGGGTCAGGACTTCTTAGAAGCTTTTGAAACTGGTCTCTAGCTGTTGACCGTGCAAGTGAATTCTAATGCTCTGTGCACTCGGATGGGAACAAAGCAAATCCAGCAGGGAGAGCTTTTGAAAAATCCCACACCTATAATCAAACAAACACAAAAAGACCTTCCCTTTTCTTCTCAACTAGATCATAAAATGCATTAATAATATATTCACTCAAGCCTTCTTGGCTGTACATTTGAAATTCAGATGTGCTTTGTGGGTCAGTCTGCTTTCAGAGCCCTCAACAGATGCTTGTTTCATGCTGCTGGCTATTGTTTTATAGGAGCAAAAGACGACTTGTGTGCTAAGAACAACCAGGCAGCGCAGGGGAAAAAATCCTCAGGGTCTGGTATGCTTTAGTGTGTTTCAAATGATCATGACCCCATTGCTCAGTTAGTTTGAATGTATGAAACAAGTCTGACATCTGTTTTTCTAGAGTGCTGTGAAATGGGTGGAGTCCCATGGATTTGAGGACTGAATTTAAGCCTGTGGACATCTTCCAGGAATTTGAACAGGCAAGGAAAGTTGGGGTGGGAGAATAAGGCTTAGGAGCAAGAGCATCTTCAGTTGACATTAACCCCTGCTATTATGTTTTTAGCTTCAAATCCTTCCTTTTTTTTTCTTTTTTTTGTAAAAAAAAAAAAAAAAAAAAAAACAAACTCGTTGTGTGGTAAGTGAATGATTTCATCCACATCTGTAATGAATTAGAAAGTAATACTAAAGATTAACTTACTATATTGAAATGAACTCTCAAGTTCTGGTTCTCTTGGTTGGTAATTTGTGCCTGAGGTTAGAGACCTGGCTTTTCTCTGTTTTAAGACATATTTTCATAGAGTAGCTTGGGTTGGAAGAGACCTTAAAGATCACTTAGTTCCAACCACACTGCCATGGGCAACAATGCAATCCATTAGATTAGGTTGCCCAGGGCCTTGTCTAACCTGGTCTTGAATACCTCCACAGATTGGGGCATCTACAGTTTCTCGGGACATCCTGTTCCAGTGCCTCGCCACCATCTGAGTGAAGAAATTCTTCTTAACCTCTAATCTAGGTCTCCCCTCTTTCAGTTTAAAACCACTCCCCCCTCATTCCATCATTGCCTGCCTGAGCAAAAAGTTGCTTTTTTTTTTCTTTTTTTTTTTAATAAGCCCCCTTTAAGTACTGAAAAGCTGCAATGAGGTCTCCCTGAAGCTTTCTCCTCTTTTGGCTGAACAGCCCCAGCTCTCTCAGCCTTTCTTTATAGGAGAGGTGCTCCATCCCTCTGATCAACTTTTTGGCCCTCCTCTGGACCTGCTCTAAGAGCCCCACATCCTTTATGTGATTGAGCCCAGACCTGGACACAGCACTCCAAGGGAGGCTTCACAGGGGCAGAGCACAGGGGACAATCACCTCCTTCCACCAGCTGGCCACTTCTTATGATGACCTCTGGAGCTTCAGTTGTAACTGGGGATCTAAGTATTAACACAGAATTGATGATTTAGATATGGATTGACTTTGAGTTGAAATTGAATACAAAGGGGGAGCTGTACAAATCCAAGAGATTAAGGGCCAGAAAAGGTTTGTGAATGATCAGAGTGTAAGGAAAGGCATCTGCTGCCTAAGTGATTTAGGGGTGAATGTAACCCTATCGAAGAACAGGAAAATGTTGACTTTGTAGACGGACTTTTTCTGCCTTCCAGCTCTTCGATTTTACTCTTAACAGTGGAGGTTCTTGCCCTGAGGGGTCTGCCAGCAGAAGAGATTCATGAGTAGTCTTTAAGCCCTTTCAGTCAAATTCAGCTCTATTACTTTGTGACCTTGATTTTGAGTTAACCCAGCAGGCTTTTCCTGAAGCAGAATGACCTGTTGTTGTGAAAAAGATGGTACCTAGCCCCTGTGTTCATGTATCAGGTTTTCATTCCTGACCTGTTGACTATCAGGAGGTGTGTCGGTGTGCACCTGTGTGCTTACAGCTGAATGATGTACTGTACAGGATGTGTTGGTTAGTTTCATTTGCTTTGATTGCCACAAACACAAGTGTACGCTGATTCCACATTTTCCTGAGAAAAAATATAAAATTTGGAACATTCTCAGATACCTCTACTGTAGTTAGACCCATGTACAGCCTGTGTAAACAAGGCAGTAGGCTTGCATCATTTACTGACCTTTGCTTGTTCTTGCAGCTATTTTCCTCAGCCTCAGGGTTAGTAGGCCACCGATGCTGCAGGGCATTACCTAAAGTTTATTTTTGTTTCTCTCTCACTGGAGTAAGAGCGCTTCCTGTGCCTCTAGTTTGGGCCTTTTAACAGCAAAGAACAAATGACCAAGCCTTTTGACTGTCGTATTTCCCTGGCTGTGCAGTCTCTGCTTCTGTGTTGGAATCTGTCTAGAAAAAACTGTCAGACCCTGGAGGGAGTTGTATTTAGTAATGTGGAAGGGGTGGAAGAATTTATCTAGTGGCAATGATAATGATTTAAACGAGTACCCCATATCTGGTGGCAGTTGTCTGCATAACTTGTTTCATGTTTAACCTTGTCTTTCCTGTCTCATATCCAATAGCTCACTTTGTTTTAAAGCAGCAGCTTAGAGCTCAGCTTAGTTTTTACATCTCTGAGCTTTCTGCGGGGAGAGGTCTCCCACTTCTACCTGTGATGCTTCTGCTAGTTTGAAACCATCTGGTTCCAGGAGTAGATAACCGGCTGACTTTTCTTGTGAAAGAAACACAGTGAGATACAGCAAAATCCTATGTCAATTAGCACAGAGGAGGTTGATCAAAACACCCTTCTCCTTTGCTTTCTCTACTTTCTGAAATAACTAGAATGTTATACTCTTATGCTGAGGATTTAGTTTCTTCTGTTTTCATTTTATCAGGAATCTTGCTAGTGTTGCACTTCTCTGTGGTATGACAAGACCGTTACGCTGTGCTGCTCTGATCTCTGTGCCTTCTTTATTATGCTCCTTTGTAATGTCAGGTCTTGCCCTGGTGCCACCAAGAAACCTCTGCTTGGAATTCGTTTGGACAGCTCTGTTCTGTGTGATCTGTGAAAATTACTCGGTCCTCTGATGGCATATCCCGGTATTGACCATGTTTAAAAAAGCAGCGCATGTAAAAGTCAGTCAGTGCTCATAGATCCGATGTTGCATTCATCTTTTTGCTCTGAAATACTAAATAAGCTTTTGGAAGTATGTATTGAATAGTGCTGGGGAGAAAGAGAAACTGAAACATCTTTAGACAAAACTGTAGGTGCTGGGAAGCAGTCAGAAAGGGCAAGGGCACCTCAATTATGCAACCCTCCCAAATCACTACCTGCCCTTAGACATACCCCTCTTAGAAGTTGTGGTTATGAGAGGATGAAGTTTGTTGATTTTGCTAGTTGAGGAAAGTCTTATCCCTTGCCGGTCTATGGTTATGCAGTTTCTTTTACCACTTGGTTTTAGCACAGGTTAGCATTTGTTTCAGAGAATGATAACGAAAACTTACTACATTTTGTAGCAGAACAGGTATGTTCTTAGGTCAACTCATAGCTTTCCCTTACAGATTTTTATTTGGAGTCCAAATCTGATTTTGTGTATGTCAGGCACTTTCAAGATCACAGCTGAAGTTGTAAGCACTCAGAAGTGCAGAAAATTGGACAGATTTTTCTGGGTCTTTGACTGGAAAGAGGCATCCTCCATCTTGTCTGTAACAGACAGGCTCCTCTGGCCTGGCAGCCTGTAGCAGTAATTCAGGAACTCTGCTCTGCTGCTTTAGTACTTTTTTTTTTTCTTTTTCTTCTCTGTTATTTACTGATCAAGCCTGCTTGCTGAATATTCCAGTGCTAATTTTTAATAAAACTTGCAATGAGAAGTCATGTCAGACTTTTCAGACAGATAAAGTGGAAGGAATCTTCTGGAAACGTTTGCAGCGTGTTTGAGGGGAATGGGGAATAACATTGTCAGTGTTGATCTGCTAGGGAGAACATCTGTGTGCAAAGGTTTGTTCAAAGCAGATGGATGGCAGAGAAGGGAAGGGGTGTTGTTTAACCCTTGGTTTGGAGCCAGCATTTTCCCCCTCAGCTGCTCTAATTTGGCTGGGTTTTCTGATGCTTAAAAGGCTGACTCCTTCGTTTTCTTTCCTTTTTGTAAAGATTGTCCTTGATGGGGAGGTCTGTTGCAAAAAGACTTTGTTAGTGACTACTTATGTGATGCTTTTGTGGTTTTGTTTGTTTGTTTTTAATATCGAATCAGTATGTTTTCTTGTTGTATCTGAGCATTTAGCTTTGACTTAGACGATTTTTAAAGTATTTATTTTCAATATTCCCCAGAGAGAATGTGATGTTAATGCTACTGTATAGATGAGAAACTGGAATGTAGAGGTGATTTGCCAAAGCAAATAACTGATCCCAGGTTTTCCATGCCTTGTGTCAGTATCATAGTATTTGGATTGCTTTCTTAGGAGAATACACAGCAGATTTTGTTAATGCATGATTAAGGGGAAGTATTTAGGAGAAAGGCAATGACTCCACTGATTTTCAGCTACCACAGGTACTTGTTTCAGTATACTGGTGCTTGTTTCAAACTGTCAAATAGTATTTCAAAGAACGGGGTCATATTTTCAGCATCCTGGAGGAACCTCTGCTGATGCAATCATTGTTTAGGGACTGTGGGGTATTCAATGCGATAAAAAGCAGCTGAAGTGTGAGCATAAGCTTAAGTTTGTTATAAATAAATCCCTAAGTGACAAGTGAACTGCAGGGGGAAAAAATGGAGTTGTATGCTAATTTCATGAAGTATGGAAGTGTGTGTTGTCATCCCTTAATATCCGTTCTTCTCCACTAGACAGTGAGGGGTGTAGTTCATTGTAAAGCTGTGGAGAGCTTGTACTAGCTGTCCCAAGTTCAGATTGCAGACTGTGCACTATATTGGCTGAGGGAATTCGGGCACTGAAGACACAGAAACATGCAGTTCTTATCCTGAAGCACACAGTAGTCTTAAAAGAGTCAGGGTGATGTGTTCACAGAAAGAGAATGAAAGAGAAGGAGAAAGGAAATGTGGCAGGATGGAAGGCAGTGTTATAACTATGCTTCCATGATTTGACTTCTATTTTAGGAGGTGTGATAGTTTTGATGCATATTTTCTTTGCTGTCATGTTATGCACTTGTCTGACATGTCTGATACGTTTTCAGGCACTAAAAATCCTGGGTCATCTAAAGAAAACAAGTGCTTTTTTATTTTTTTTATTTTATTTTTTGCCTAATGGAGTGTTTTTTGTATGTGTCTTCAATGCTTATAGGTTGAAAATATCCTGCTGCATGACCGTGGCCACTATGTCCTGTGTGACTTTGGAAGTGCCACTAACAAATTCCAGAACCCTCAGACAGAAGGGGTGAATGCGGTAGAGGAAGAGATCAAAAAGTAAGTGCTTTTTTTTTTTCCAGCTTGGACATAATTTGAAGGGTAATTTTTCTGTGTACTGGGACTAGATTTTACTCATGCCTGTTGTAGCAGGTTGGATGGTGCTGCATAGAGGGACCTGCTAGAGGTAAATAAGGACCAGGGAAAGGTGAAACAATAAAGCTCGGAGCTTGATGTAATTGCCCTAGACCTGAAAGGCTGAGTATAACAATGCACGGAAGTTGCCCACCTTGATAAGATAATGACATGCTTGGTTACGTGTGGAATCTGTCTGGCTGTCTCTCATCTATCTTGGTTTCTTTGAACTGCAAACATAGCAAATGACAAAATGCCTGTCCTCCATGGGCTGCTCATGTTAAAACCCTGTGGTGACATGGCCCAATTTCTCAGCTCTCTGTAGAAAGTGGATGGATCTTGAGGTATTTAATTTGGCTCCTTTTGCCCCAGCTAGAGTGGTTACAGTGAGGTGTGCCTAGATAAGCTTTTAAAAAGGGAACTCAATTCATAGTTCAGTAGGGCCTAGATCAGGGATGGACCTGATACCATGTCCTTGCTCTTGCTTTAGTTTTAACAGCATCTCTGCTGTGTACTTTCCAGCACTGTTAGTGCAATGCTCTGGCTAGAAAGCAGTGTGTTAGAAATGGGTGCAAATGCTTTCTTTTTGTTAGGATTCAATTATAAGTGCATGGATTTCCTAGACGTGCTTGACTGAAGTTTTCAGAGCTCTCTTAGTCTCGCTTTGCAGTCCCTTCGGAATGTCATATTTGTATGCTTATTAATAAGCCTACAAAAACTTTGCCCTTAGCAATGTTTTCTTGTGATCAAGCCAAATAGCATGGAAGGTGCTACAGCAGAAATTACAAGGTTTCTTCCTACCAGTAGGTCTGTAAGAGTCTCAAACTGTCTCTATCTTTTAAAGCCCTAGTAACTTGCTAAAATGTGTCAGACTCTATGTCCAGTTTGAGCTCCAAAATGACCTTTCCTGTGTCCACAATGACTCAAATTTGGAATCCTGGAATGGAAGTCTACTTATTAGGAACCATGTATCCAGTTACAATATTTGTAACTGGGGCCAAAGCCCCAGCAGTAACAACATTGCAGAGGACATTTGACTACTGATTTTGTTGTTATTCTGAATACTTGAAAGTTTCTGTTTTAGTTCTTAAAATGACTGTCCTATTTTGTGAGTAAATTTCTTGCTGTAGAAAGGATCTTTGCTATTGCTTTGGTTTCCCAGGATGGTTTGCAGTGGTCAATGTTTTCTAGTTAGAGGCATGCAGCAGAAGCTGTTATTGATGTAAAAAAATAAATCATTTATGTTTAATATTTGCCCTAAAACAAATAGGGAGAGAATGAATTTTGAACTATTTTAAAATGTGGAATAGCGGAAATGCCTCTGCTATCAATTTTGAACTCACTGATGGATCTTTTTTTGACAGGTACACTACATTATCCTACAGAGCACCAGAAATGGTCAACCTGTATAGTGGCAAACTTATTACTACAAAAGCAGACATATGGGTATGTATAAAACCCAGTTAACATGGGTTAACATCAGGCTGCAGCTTGATTTCTGTATCATAATGACAGAGTAACTTTCTGGCTTGGACTAACCTAGTTTTTGTAAAAGACGAGACAATTCCTGAATGAAGAGTTCCTCTGCTTGACACTTCTGATAAGTTACTGCTAAACGGGCTGGTTTGTGGATAAAACATGATTGGTTCTTTGCATGCTGTCTTACATGTGGTTTTAATATAGAGATGTATGAAATGTTAGGGTTGAACAATGCAAACCTGATTTCACGTCATAAAATAATTAAAACAGAAAATTCAGGGTCTTGTGACTTCTTGTGCCTTGGTTGGGCGGGCATGTGAAATTAAAGTCACTGGTCATAAGAAGATAGAAAATGAAAAAATAGACCTTCCCCAAGAAATAACAGTATGCTTCTCCTGGACATTGTAATGCAGCTCAGTATTGTCAAACCCAGACAAAGACCGAGCTTTTGCACTGCTGTTTCTAATGATTAGTGCAGTCTTGCTGTGGTGTTCATGTTGAAAGCAAAGTGCACCTGGATTACTGGTTAAATTACTGGATAATCTAGTAGATGGTAGGCTTGCTTTTAGTTGTGATGGAGGTGGAAAAAAGCCTGTGCTGTCTCTAGTGTAGTGGCAAGTCAGCAAAAGAGTTTTGTTTAAAATGCTATTTCAGAGTGTGTTTGTATAATTTCTAAAGCCCTGAGCTGGGAAATAACAGAGCGGAAGCAGTATAAGGAGAGGTTTAATGTGTCCTCAGTAATTGTGTGTCTGCATGTGCAAGAGGCAAAATTGCTGGCATGGCATCTGCTGGGAAGAGTCCTCCATCCTATCTGTGAGCTCAGCCAAGAGTCAGGAATGTAGCAGCTCCTATGGGGCTCTTGTACTGCTGAGTTCAGCAGGAGGTTTGTGGAACCGGGCCCTGTACCAGTGTTGGGTCACTTGCCTTGCTGAGACTAGAGAGGGGAGGTCACAGCTGTAACAGTGTGAAAAGATTGTCAGGGCCTCAGAGGCAGCTAGAGGAGAGCCCAGGGTTTGTACTCCTTGTGATAATGCGGAGGGGTAGAGATGCAAATGCTCAAACGGTCCTCCTCTTCCTGATGTGGAAGGAATTCTCTTCAAGTGACCTGCTGAGTGTTTGCAAACAAGCATGTAATGTTGCGCACAGTGGGGCCTCAACTTTAGGGCCTATTGCTGTGGCTGTCCTGCTCGTAATCTCTCTTTCCTCAAATTTCATTGAGGTTATTTTAAACTATAGTGTCATTTAATTGTGAAATCCTATGACAAAAAATACAAGCAGATGATGAGTTGCTTAGGATTAGGAAATGTGTTCCCCCTCTCCTCTTTGGGATGGTGGCAGTATTTCATAATTAGCTGTTTGTGCAAAATTTTCATTTTATTTTCAGATAGGTGGTTCTTCTTGCTGTCAAAAGCAGCCTGGCAATAGATGGAACAATGATAGAACCTAGCAGCCTGCAGACATATCTGTATACCTCTCTGGTACACGACTATAATGGTTGAAAGGTTGTGTGAACTGGTACAGCTTAAGCTTGGTAACCAGTATTATTTGGTTTTCGTCAGAATGAAAGTATTAAGGATGATGGATGACATATTTTTGCTATATGCTTTTTTTACGCTCAGTATATTCAGAATAGAAAAAAATCTTCTGTGTAGTAACATATACCAGTGTAAGGTTTGTGTAGGTTTGGAGATCTTGCTTATAGAATCACAGAATCATAGAATATCCCGAGTTCGAAGGGACCCATAAGGATCATCGACTCCAACTCCTGGCACCACACAGGTCTACCCAAAATTTTAGACCATACAACTAAGTGCACAGTCCAAACACTTCTAAAATTCAGACAGGCTTGGTGCAGTGACTACTTCACTGGGGAGCCTGTTCCAGTGTGCAACCACCTTCTTGGTGAAGAACCTCTTCCTGATGTCTATCTGACCTTCATACCTGCTTCTGTTCTCTTCTTAGTACACCTCAGGCTTTGCCAGTTTAATGAGAAGGGTTGTGCTATGCACAGTGCTATGTGGAACTGTGGGTTGTGTGTGGTGCTACTCATCTGATCCCCACTGCCTACGGTATCTCAGCTTAGTGAGGGAGAGCTCTTCATGTACGTATCTTCTCATATAACTATGTTTTCAGTCGACCAGAGGGATGTTAAAATGTAGGCTTGAGGTCATGTAGGACCACTGTGATTGAACAAGCTAGAGTACTTTTCATGTTATCTTCAATGGTATTTGAGTTGTGTGATTCCCTGCTTTGCTTCAGTTTGTTAAATAAATCACTGGCTCTGTTCTCTCTCTTTAGGCACTCGGCTGTTTGCTGTATAAGTTGTGTTATTTCACCTTGCCGTTTGGGGAGAGTCAGGTGGCAATCTGTGATGGCAATTTCACCATTCCAGATAATTCTCGGCATTCGCAAGACATGCACTGCCTCATCCGTGAGTGTATCTCTGACAGTGGCGTAGTCTACTTCTATAGAGCTTTGAAAAATAGCATTTTGTTTTTATATTCCTTGTTCCCACAGCAAAAAAAATTGGTGTTGCTTATCTTATATGAGACTTGCTTGCACACAGGGATGGATAAAATCATCTTCTAGTAGCTTGGGAGATCACTCTTCAAAAGCCAGTTACAACAAAGATTTCTATTTGGCTGGGCTGTAGTGAACTCTGAAAAGGAAGGAAAACAGGCAACCACTTGGTTTAAGAGTCTACAGAAACTTGCACAATAAGCCTATTTATGCAGAAACGTATTTCTCCAGTAATAAATCTGTTTGGATAAGGAGCTGAAAAGAACCACAGTGACTTAGACTAGCGATAAGAATTCGTCTTCTGTGAATTGAGAAACAGAACTGAAATGATTTATAAATAACCTACTGCCTAGAGTGAATGTGTAATTAAGGGTACAATGCATTACTCTTGGCAAAGCTGGGGCAGCTCTCTTGTTTTTAGTACAGCGTTTTATTTATTTATTTATTTTTGCTATAATCTTGTGTAACAGAATTGGATGTGTTTTCAAAGCAGTCTGGTATTTTCTTGCCTTATGCAAAGGCAATGGTATGCCCCACTAACACACCAGGGTTGGATCAAGCTCCTTTCCCGTGTGTTCGCTTGGAAATGCAGAGGTCAAAACCAACACTACTCCCTGACCAAGCAGGGTTGCTTTTCCCCCTCCTTGCTTTGAGCTTTCAATTGCAGCTATGAAATTATGCATAGCTGTGTTGGAAAATATTTCTTGGTCCATCCTGGCTGGCCATCTAGCCCCTTTCTCAGCTGACCGTAATGATCAGCTCGGTCCTGCTGACCATTGAATAGGTGCTTTGAAAGAGGCAAGGTACCCTGTTAGCATCTGCTTATCCTACAGCTGTAGCTCTGACTGCGAATCTGTTCTACTGCTCTGATGTTAACATCTTTATATTTTAAAGGGTATATGCTTGAACCAGACCCTGATAAGAGACCTGATATTTATCAGGTCTCCTACTTTGCATTCAAATTGGCAAAGAAGGAATGCCCGGTCCAGAACGTCCAGGTGAGTAGCAAAGTAGTAGACTGATGTAGGGCTATGTGTAGGGAGGCTGGGGATGACACTTGCTAAATACCGAGGATATTGCCATATTATTCCCCTGGTCTCTAGTCAGGAGACTCTATTTCATTTTTTGTGATTAACAGTGCTGTTGTTTTTTTGTTGTTGTTGTTTGTTTGTTTTTGCTTTAAGGGGGTGTGTAAATCAGGGTTTTGATTCATATGTTGCTTATTTCTGTCTGTCTCCGATTTGCTTCCTCACCCAGTAAACAGCGTGAGGCGAACCAAGAGACCTTTTGCATGTGAACATGGAAAATTAGGCCATGCTTGTGAAACCAATTTGATTTCCAGGCAAAGTCATCATAGCGTGTGTAATTTGCACTGCAGTTGGTTTTAAACATAGTGATTTTGTCTGCTGTCTGGCTGAGAACAGTCAACTTGCATTTGAACCACATCAGACCTTACACAACCATCTGCTCCTTCTTCACCTATCTTTACAGACTTCAATTGAAAAATGACAAGTTTTTTTTTCAGTGTTATGTATATCTGTGACATGAGATCTTTGTTCTTTCCAGATGAGAAGAAACCTATTTTTTTTTCCATGTGTCCAGTTGGTTATTTATGATCTTTATGAACAAGGCATTGTAATTGTGCTTGTTTTTATAGATGTATTAGTAACTGTTGCTGCCATTGTTCCCAGGTTATCTTGTAAAACACACAGGATATACTATAAAGCTTTATGTTCAGATTCCACGGATAGTAGATTGTCAAAAAGCTGAACTGAATTTTTCCCTCTCCCAAACCGCAGGGCTTTGTCTTACATTCAGCATGAGGAATAGCTGCTATGGAGATCCTGCAATCTCCATGCTTCATAGTAGTGATTTTGCAAATGATTTCTGAGTGTTTTTTTGCCCTCAAAGCGCTAAACCTAGTATTTTTGGGATCTGCAGAACTCTACAATCCCTGCTAAACTCCCAGACCCAGTCAAAGCAAGTGAAGCTGCTGCGAAGAAGAGTCAACCCAAGGCCAGGTAACTGCATGTTTATTACACACAGTGCTCTCTTTTTACTATATGCTGTCTTTTGCTTTCTATTAGAAAAGACGCTTGGTGTATTTAGCTGCTTCCTTGTGGGTTTACATTTTTACGCTGAGACAAACGCTGCAGTCCCGAGGCTTCTGCTTCAATGATGTAAATATCCATTGATCTGAAAGACAGAAAATGCAGATACTGGAAATTTGCGTGTCTGAGGACAGGGGACTTGGGCAATACTCAGCACAACTCAACAGCTAGACTTTTTGTACCGAAGGCATCGCATGAACTTCTGCTGCTATCAGGCACTTAGGATGGATGACACAACAGATTCATTTAAGGCAGTTAAGTACCCAAAGTACCTAAGAGCAAAGTCAGGAGAAAGACTGCAGCTATCCTGCAGTGGGCCTGGAACTAGCCCAAAAAATGCAAGTCTTCTGAGAAACTGCATCAGGGACTACGGCTGTTTGAGTTTGACCCTCAGCAGATGATAACCTGACCCAGTAATTACTGTGTGCAATTGCTGTGATTTCTGCATGAGCCATATAATTTCTTCAGTGGTTATAGGGGAAGCCCAGGCAACCTCCATCTGAAGAGCCTAATTAGTGGAAAAACCACTGTACTGCTGTGGTGGTTCTTCTCTCCTGCTGCTGCTTGTTCTGCTTATGGTATTGTAATGAGACGTATAAATTTTGTTGGACAAAACTTAAACCTTATTTTACTGCAAAGCATTACATTAGCGGGCACTCCAAAAATGGTGTTTGGTTTTGTTTTTTTTCAGACTCTGAAATAGGGCATCTCTTCTCCTGTGTCAGGCCCAGGAGTTTCTTTTTATAATTGAACACGGCTACCCTTACGTTGGTAGAACAACTTGATATCTAACACAGAAACATAGACACAGAAGGGGGCGATAATACCCAGCTTCTTGGCTCTATTGCAGTCCACTGTTGGGGGACAACAAATGTTGAGCAAAGATCAGAGGAGGTCCAGTGACCTGATTCTGGGATACATGTACTAAAGTTAAGGTATTTCTAAAGATGCCAATTCAGACAACTCTGCCCAAAGGTACCAGCTGCTCTTAAGCATCCTTATTGTAACCATCATCTGCTCATCTGAAACTCTAAGTGGCTTTAAACAGTACGTTGTAGTAAGTATTTGAGTTGAGTGATTTTGACAAGTTCCCACTGTCTGCCAGGAGAAGATACCACAATGGGCAAAATGATTAAAATGATTGTGTTGGATTAATTGTTGTGAATGCATCCATTAAATTTTACTGTGCTTCCAGTTTTGTGGAAGGGTTGACCGGTATATCTGGATGCATCTAACCATTTCACCTTTATCATTTGATCACCTTTCCAGCTGAAGTATGGATGAGTGTTTATCCCATACTGTGTGCTGCTTGTAACAGCTCTCAGGCTAACAAGGACTTCTTTTACTGCTCCAGCTGGTGTTTTTCTCATTTTAATTGTTACATTGTTTTGTAGGTTGACAGATCCCATTCCTACAACAGAGACGTCCATAGCACCCCGCCAGAGACCTAAAGCAGGACAGACACAACCCAACCCTGGAATTTTACCCATTCAGCCGGCCCTCACACCTAGAAAGCGACCCACAAGCCAAGCAGCAATTCAACCACAAGGTGAGACTCCTGTATGTGCAGTACCTTCCTGACAGGCACTGTGTATAGCTGCGATGTGGTGCTGATCTCTCTGATGGATCTGTTTTCTTCTGTCAGTTGCAGGGCCTGCTGCCTTGGGCAGTGGTCAGCCTTCCCTCCCTGCAAGTGTTCCCCAGCAAAAGGCAGCACCTCAACAGACTCCGGCACAGCCACAAGCCAAACAAGCTCCAGCTTCCCAGCAGGCATCACAGGCACAGCCCCAAGTCCCTTCTGCTCAGCCACAAGCCACACCTCAACACCAACAGCAGCTTTTCTTGAAGCAGCAGCTACTGCAGCAGCAGCAGCAACAGGCTGCATATTACCAGCAGCAACAGATGATGCAAGCTCAGCAGGTGAAAGAAACATGACCGTGTTTGTTGCATTATTTCCTATGTTAGAGGCCTGCAGGACCACATCTTTACATTTATATCAGGTCCTCTACTTCTGTGTTTTGGGGGGTAGTTTTATACATAGTTTTTAGGTGTTTTCCAATGCATCTCCAGTTCTTCAGCAAGATTTTCCTTGCTTAAACAAGGCTGGTATTTTGAATTGTTAGTGTAGAAGGCCTTGAGATATTTTTGTCATGCACACATATAAAACCTTAGCCAGCACTGCTTCTTTTATAGCTCAAAGTATTTCAAAGTCTTGAGGTCAGCACTTAACTGATGAGTAGAGGTGTACAATTTCTTTTCTGCTCTTTGTGATATAAGAAACCTGGCATTCCTTTTTAATGGTCAGGTCTGTTTGTGTGGTAGATAGTGGTGTTAGGGAGGCCTGTGAAAACATTGTGTGTTAGATAAATCCCATTGCCTAGGATTTGTCTAGGTAAGAGATGCGTGCTTAACTGAAGTGTTTATGGCAGCACAGATCACCGCTAAAGCATATTAATGTTGGAAGCAAAGGGGTGGTGAATCTTACGGTCCTGGAGAAAGGTTTGGAATAAAAAATGGGAAAAGGAGAACACCATAGAACAGTGTTCTGGTGTGCCATTGGAGCCCACTAGAGACAGGTGTAACACAGAAAGGATCTACCATTAGACTGGCAGGCTATTTTCCACCGCTCTTCTGCAGGTGGTCTTCAATCCGTCACAACCTTTACTGCTTTGCCACTTGCAGTGGCTTTACCCAGTCCTGTGGCTTGCCCCTGAGTTCTGGCCACCCCAGTTTGCAATAAGCATCTCAACTGGTTGTTTCCCAGTTCCCAGTGATGCAGCAGGGAGCGCCAGCACAGCAGCAGCTTATGCAGAACTACTACCAGCAGCAGCAACAACAGCAGCAGCAGATGATGGCCCAGCAGGCAGCAATGCAGCAGAAGACAGCAGTAGCAGCAGTTCAGCAAAAGCAACAGACTCCAGCACCTCCACAGACCCAGCAAAGTGCGGCCCAGCCAACGCCACAGCAGGAACAAGTGGTAAGAGCCTGGGAGGAAGCAAACAGTATCTAATGACCTTCAGCTATGCAATATTTGAGTCCAGACTAAGGATCAATGTTTGCTTGCTTGCTTCATGAGTTGCCAGTCATTCAGGACCTAATTCATCTCTTGGGTATGCTTCTTTTGAAGTGACATCATGAATTAATTTGACTAATAAAACTCTAAGCAAGTGACCTGAGCAAAGCTGGGGAAACCTTCCTCGTCTTGCTTTTTCTGTGTTGTCTTAAGGCTTTGTCATATTCACACATGCACTTTTATATTAACGTTCAGCACTGAGCTGCTTGTTAGCAGCTGATGAGATAGGAGTTGTTGTGTTTCTGGTCTTCTTACTGATGTGCTGAATGACCTGGGGCAAGTCAGTCTGTTAAAATCTGAGTGAGTTGTCAGTAACTCTGGACAGATTTTGGATGAAGCCCATTATCGCCCTGTTCCTTTTAAGGGAGAAATGCCTGACATGTAGTACTCAAGTGCATCTCTAAAGAATTTTGCTCTGATTTACTAGCACAAAAATATTCCTTTTTTTTTTTTATTAAATCAGTTGGACTGAAATTAGCCTCATCCCCTTCACCCCCAGAAGACTCATCATAAATGGTGCATCTGGAGACTTCTACTCCTGTAGCACTAAGAAGAGTGGTGGTTGGGTCATTTTAAAAAAAATAGTAGGATATAGTCTCTAAAAGAGCAGGTTCTCTGAGCAGAAGATACCAAGTTACCTGTCAAAACCTTTTCATGCTGCAGGACTTCAGCTTAATAAGCTCTGCATTCATTTCTGTGGAGATTTTGGCACTGCCCTTTTATTTGTCAGCACCAAATGTACTGTTCCGCAGTGACCTATATATCAAGATATAAGGTGGGTGCATCGGAAGCAATCGGGTCAGCTTGCTTCTCAGCCACACTGAATTAGTCTGCCTGAAAATGCCAGATAAAAAGCAAGGCAGCTAACCTCTTGTTTGCCTTGCCCCACTGTAGTTAAGCATCACATTGGAAATGTAACTCTTTTCTCATTGCCCTCTTAGGTATTTCCAAGTTTTGCATCCATCTTCCTTGGTTGAAAATGTCCTGTGATGCTACTGAAGGGGGAATAGGGAGCTCTAGTATCCAGGCAGTAGAGGTGACGTGCACAGCTTTCTGCTCTTTGCATCCAGGTTTCCCCTCTTTAAATCCCCCCGATGGCTGGATCATGCTATCTCACTGATACTAATTTTATTTTTTTAAGTTGCATCTGAAGTGATGTTGTTTATAACTAGAAAAGAGTATCGAAAGTATTTATGGGTTTATGATTTTAACACAAACAAGACTGAAGTAATGAAAAGATAAAATTGGTTTGAGAAACTTCTTGAAGTTTTCAGAGGGTTTGTAGTTGGACTCATGGTTTACACCTAAGCCAAACATGCTTGTTTTTTTTTCTGCACATGAAAATGGCAAATTTTGCTCCCAGGGTCCTTGAGTCCTTGCTTTTTCCTGCTTGGGTAGAAAACTAAGTTTCTTGCATGATTATTTTTTTTTGCAGAAATCATCTACTCCTTTAGGAACTGAACCCAACCACACACTATCTACCCTTCACCTTGTTCCATTCTATGTGTCTGTATAGCAAAATTTCTGCACACTATGATCTGATTTCTATGGTCTACACTGGACTTTGGCCTCGTTACCCTTGATCAAGTTTCTGAGGGCAGTTGACCTTAGGGGAGAGAGTTTTCCTCTTGTGCAACTGTGATAATGCTGAAACTCTATAGACTAGCTATTGCCAGCACTCCACCTCCCTAGTTGCTTCTTAATTGTTGTTTTGGTGTGGTATTGTTTTTTGTTGTCGTTGTTTGCTTAATTTCCCTCCAGACTATTCCTGATTTATGACTTTGAGGTCAGATTCTCCAGAAGATAGCCTTTTTTCCATCATGGCAGTTGTTCACAAAGATCATAACCATTTTGCTTTCTGTCCTAGATGCAGGCGCAAATAAGGCAACAACAAAAACCTCAAACCACACCACCTACAGCAGTTCAGGGGCAGAAGCTGGGTTCTCTCACCCCTCCGTCCTCCCCCAAGACACAGCGTGCAGGACACAGGAGGATTCTGAGTGATGTGACCCACAGTGCTGTTTTTGGGGTCCCAGCCAGCAAGTCTACCCAGCTCCTGCAGGCAGCTGCTGCTGAAGCCAGTCTCAACAAGTCCAAGTAGGTGGCTGCTCAGTTGGTATCAAAGGTGGGGGGTACATGAGGCTCTTTGGGGACTTCCTGGGCTCAGCTCTGAGGTGAAGGTAGACAGCAAACTCTGCAGTACAAGTCTTCGCATTCCCAAGACCACAGTGTAGGGCTTGGCAGAATGTCACAGAAAATCTTCCTCAAGGGCAGAAGTCCTCTTGAGTGTTTCTGCTCTCACAAAAGGCATAAGCAAATGGGGCCTTCAAGTGGATTACAAAAGTTCATACTTCAGCTGTTCCACCAGTAACCCTGGTGCATGCTTCATGCATGCTGCATAGCACCAGACCTTCTGCAGGAGCATTTGATACTTGTTCTTATAGTATCTACAGGCAGGAAGCCTCCACATGGACATTGCAGAAAATTGTGTTGCATGGAATGCTTATGATGCTTGTTTTAATCTTTGACATCAGCATGCTGAAACAGATTACAAGTAGATAAGGCTTGCTGGTCCTAGTGTTCTGGGTATGCAAGTACAATACCTTACACTGAGTGCTTTAAGTAGCAAGTAATTATAATGCAGTAGCTTGGACTAGGCTCATAGCACTGGCCAGAGAGTTTCAGATGGATTATTAATGACTGTTTGGTTGGGATGATCACATCCAGATCTGCTTCCACTACGCCCTCGGGTTCCCCAAGGACCTCACAGCAGAATGTCTATAACCCACCTGATGTCTCCACATGGAATCCATTTGATGATGATAACTTCTCCAAACTCACAGCTGAGGAGCTGCTGAATAAGGACTTTGCAAAGTTGGGTGATGGTAAGTTCATGGAGGTAGTTTAATGCCAGCCTGCTCTCGAAATGGAAAGTGGCATGGAATGATGCTTTGTCAGATGCTGCTGGGGTGCTCCCATGTTGTCACTGTCTGCTGTACCTGTACAAGCTAAAACCTTCCAATGTTCTGTCTCAGCCCCTGTCCTCTGTGGTCCTCAAAGGGAGAGGTACTAACTGCTCTTACTGTGGCCTTGATCAGTTGTAGAAGCTGCAGTATAAATTCTGCTTGATCTGCAAGTAATGATTTGCAGGAAAGGTCTAAAGTCAGAAACTGAAATAGCTTCTTAAAAGTATAGGTAAGTAAACAACATTTGGAATGGAAGTTTTTCCCCTAAAACTGCGTCTGGCATTTCAGGAAAAGCTCCAGAAAAGATGGGAAGTTCCACAGAGAACTTGATTCTGGGTTTCCAGCCGGCTTCTTCTGCAACTCAGCCGGATGCATTTGGTGGCCCTTCTACCTTCACTGCTGGAACAGGTGAGTTGGAGTATGTTCTGTAGGGCAATGCCTTGGACAGCACTGCTGAAAAGTGGCAATTCTGTGTCATGTCTTCTTTGAAAGGAGGTAAAACTGATACAAAGTGTATCAAAAATACAAATACAAAGGGTCTTGGCACTGAGAACTTCAGGATAGGGTTGTCTCCTCAGCAAACAAGGGCACATAGACTTGTCACAGTTGAGTAGTGGAGTAAGGATGCATCATCTATAGGCAGAAGTGGAGCTTTTGATGAGGTAAGAAACTTAGTGAACCTTTGAAGTTCACAAGAAAGCTACATACGTTGAAGCACCACATGGCTCACTACTGGGAGTAAAATGTGCAGTGTGCAATAAGGGGCTTGGACTCAGATGTTGCTCAGACATTGTGGAGTATCTTCCTTGCCTACCAATGTTAGGCTGTATGGAGCAAGAATAATAGTATCTCTGCCACAGAATGAAGAAAGAGAATAACAGAAGCTGGAGTGAGCAGGAAAAATCCTTAGAGAAGAGCAGTTTGTCTCATAATTAACATGGTAAATGGTGAAGGTAAGCACAGTAGTAGCAAGCTGCTTAGAGCAGCCCTAAGTGCTCTCCTGTCTCATGCAGCCATTTTCATCAGTGAAAAATGCAACCGTTTGATACTTCCTCACCAAAGCAGACCAACTGCTGGCAAAAGAATCCTTGGGAAGTGACTGAAGAATCGTGGTAGTCTTCTTCAAGGGACAAGAAGACACAAATCCATTTACATTTGCTTCTGTACATGATGAGAAATTTAGAGAAGCTTATAACTGAGTTTGGTAGTATTGGCTCTTACCTGAGAGTTTAGTAGTTGAAGTCCACAATGCAAGAGCACTCTAGGCAGTTGCTCTGAGTTTTTTCCAGTTCATTGTCCTGTGAACAGTTCATGATGTTCTGTCAACCTTAGAGTGATGCTGAGTAACAGCAGCCCTGGATTCAGCTGTAACATGCTTTCTGCAAAGTTTGAGAAGCACCCACACATTCTGGGCTTTCTGGATCTTGTAGTACATTCAATTCTTTTAGTAGTTATCTTTAAAATTTGCCCCTTGACTCTCCTGTCCTGTAGTCTGATATAGAAAGGTGCTTTGGAAATTCAGTGCTCGCACTAGGATGGACACTTCTACCCCTTTTCATTTTCTTTCCTCTTAAATACAAGCCTGTCTAAGCCTCTCTGATGCTAGATGCTGTATCTCATTTCAGACAAAAGAGGCCTAACAAGGGGGCTGGTCTTTTGTCAAGGTATTTCATTTTTTGTTCTCCTATAAATCAAGATAATGGTACTTTCCTTTCCAGGAATATTTTGAGATCTGTTGGTTAAACTGTGTTGGAGATCTATATGTTAATATTTATGTTAATATTTTTTTGTTTTTTTTTTCCTTTTCCCTAGCAATATAAACTTGTTTTGAGTGTGTTGTCATGCCATAGCTTGGACTCTGTAATATTGAGCTGTGTCTCAGAGTTAAGATTGATCCTTTCTGCTTTTCTCTCTTTCCTGTTTCACTTTGCCTTTTCTCTTCATGGCTACCAGCCGAAAAAACGAAAGACATTCTGAATTTGGACACTAGCCCTCCTCTTCTGACTGTGCCTGATCCTTTCATTCCTCTCCCATTATCTGACACACCAGGTAATTAAACTGAATTTGTGGAGATGGGGGGAGATTGTTGTTGCTAGTTCTGTATTCTTAATCTTACAGTTCTGTTTCTAGGCACACCTGAAACCCTGGGCTTTTGTCAGTAGTGCTGGGCACTGACAAGTTCTGCTGAACTCAGTGGTAGTGATGATGTTCAGTGTCAGAACGTGCTACGCATCTGCATGGTGGTGGGCAGTGCAAAGCACAAGTGCCTTTGGTTTTCATGGCAGCCCCAAGGGCTATCAGGTGGCTTCTAATACCAACTATGTTGCTGTCTTTAAAGGTTCAATATTCAAAACCAAAAATAATCATTAAGTACTTTACTAGTACTCATCTAAACCATTTTCAGATTAGTCTAACTTTGAAATTGCAGTTTTCATTATTGTTAATATTTCTGTTCTGTAAGAGTCAGTGTTTCTTTGGCTTTCAAAGCCTATTGCAAAAGCGTGCTTCATTTGAAGCACAAGTTAACATGTAACCTTTTCTGATTTGGCAAAATTCTCTAGTGCAGTTGGTAGCTATTTCCATTTACTTTGCAGTTCTACTTGAAAGTCTTTCCTGTATGGTTATTTCTGACTGCAGCAGCCAACACTTTTTAGCACAAGATTATGTAAGTGCTTAGGAGCTTATTTGCAAATCAGTAAGATATGGAATATGGCAATATTCTTATCTTGAAGTTTCTCTAAACCCTCACGTGAATGTGCGCAACAGGTCCCTTCTTGTCAGCCATCCCGAGGACAAGTTCTTGTTACAGACCTCACCCTTGTCCTCAACTCAAGCTCCGAATCACTGGTAGTTGGACTGTAGAGCACCCAAGCTTCAAAGGGATGTATTTGTAAAGATAACATCTCTCCATGAAAAGTTAAGTGATTCAGGGGAAAAGTCTATTTTTTCTGTAGTTTAGGTGGGCTTGTTTCATTCTGATTAATGCTCAAATAGTATGAGAAATGCATTACAGCTGAAAAAGAGTTTTCTCAAAGTTCAGCATTTGAATAAGTGAAACAGAACTTAATGACAGCCTCTCTCTCCTATGTGAGCGCTTGTTGGGAGCTGACCTGCCTGGCACTAGTTTGAAAAGAACCTATAGAAGATTTTGTGCAGATTGTACACTTTTTTTTAATCTTTCCCTGAATGCTAGTGAAGTGCTGGTTTTCCTGACTTGAAGACTGACAGCCCAGGCTACTATTTAGTTCTCTGCTGATGTGCTCTACGTAAACGGATAAGCACCAAGCTGGTTGTTTTCCTTTATTGCCTACTGCATTTTGATACAGTGCAATCATACAAAGCAGCAGTCACAGCCTTAGCTGCAGGAGCTCTGAGATTATTTGTGGTACAGAAACCACCACAAAGGAATTGTCTTTTGGCACCACCCTTGGGTGTGAATAATGGAAGAAGTAGTTGTCGGCAGTTTTTGTAGTGCCAGGTTGCTTGTCCCACAGATTTGTCCCAGACTGGTCGCATATCTTTGCAAGCCTATGCTAAACCTTTGGCAAATCTCTTTGCCTGCCTGTGTCAGTGCTATTGAGTTATGTTGATCTGCTTCCGTAGGGGCAAAGGTGTGTGAGAGATCTGTTTTTGTTGGCTCCCTGCAAATTGCTGTGAAGACATCTGATTTTTAATTTCTTAAACATCAAATTTGATGAGGCCAGAAGCTCATGAAAGTTTTGATTGTTTTCAAGGGTGAGAGCTTCAGGCTTATCCTTAGTCTTGAAAACTGAGAGGGTTTGTCTGAGCTTGTAGATCAAACAGAAAAGATTAAACAATAAAAATAAAAAATTCATCAATTTGGACTCAGGTTTTCAATCTGTCAGGCAGAACTGTGTGACCTTTGTGCTTGTTTGCCTGCATTACCTGTACTGTGTGCCTTGTGCAGAACATCCCTACGGTGAGCAGAGAGGACGTGGATGTGAAAGGCATTCTTTTAGTTGTGCCCCTTGAGTCAGTAGGGTTGGGACTGACTTATGGCTCTTAGTATGCCAGCATCTCCTATTGCATGTTACTAAGCTGCCTTTTTTTTTTTTTTTTTTTTTAGCACAAAAGCAGCAGAATTATGTTTAAACGCTTGCTAAGTATTTTCTTTCTCTCTCAGAAATAAAAATATTCTGAAAAACATTGATTGCAAATCCCATTGCTCTGACAACATTTTACATCTGTGTTTTTTTTTTTTTTGACTGTGGATAGCCCTTTTGGAAGTAAAAGCATGAGCTTGTACCTCCTGGTTACAAGAGCAGTGTTGTTCAGTAAGGCTTTTAATACAGGCATAAGTGAGGCTTTTATTTGATATTTTTCCTATTTGCCATACAGAGCCAGCTTAGATCAGCTCTGTGTGCTCTAAGCCTGTCACAGCTGATGTCTGACTGAGAGCTCAGCTTCTTTTTTGCCACAAACTTGCTCCCTTTGCTGGCACCTGAGGATGCAGGTGGCATTGCTTGAATGCTGGCTGGAGACCTACCTCCTTGTGCTTTCCTACCTTTCCTCAGTATGCACAGATGGAAAGACAAGCCTTTCTGTAACAGATTCCTGAGAAATAAGTAAACAGCGCTTAACACGTGAATAGCCATAGGATCCATCCCCAGACAGCCTAAATATGTTCAAATGGAGAAGAATGTCAGTATTGAGCCATAGGCAACAGACACAGCTTTAAGAATGACTGCTCAGATGTCGTTGGTTCAGCAAGATCACATTTTTGGTTCTGTGGAGTCAGTTAAACACACAGGAAAGACAAACCTTTGACAGCAGGTTCTAGCAGGCAGTGCTGTTTCTGTGGATTGTGGTGTAGGAGATGCACAGAATCCTAGAGGAGGTTGGTTTTAATTTGTTACAGCTAATGGGCTTTTTCAGTAAAAATGTTCCTAGAGAGGAGGAAATGTAGCACCCTACAGAGGGCAGAAATACCAGCTCTGGGCAATAATAAAGTGGAAGTAGAATGTTTTTCAATATTTCTCCTTCTCTGTTGTGTAATGGCTACAATTCTTAATGGAATTGTAACTAGTAAGAGCACAGCAAAACATCTGTTAAAACAAGGAAGACTTAAATATTCATGCTGAAAACATTTTTCCCTTTGCATGTAGGAAAGTGAGCCAAGTCCTTAATAAGCTTATTGCAGGCTTCACTGCTGATTAATCATAACGGAGTATTTGATCAGAATGGTAATTTTTCTGCTTTGTGTGGCTACTTAATACTTATCAATACGCATTTAGCTTGTGCAAGCATGGGAGGGTAAATTATGCACCAGGTATTCTGGAGACCTGAAATTAAAGAGAGTTGTGAAGCTTAACAACAGATTGTTCTCTGAGTAGTTGGGACTCCACTCTGTGAATAGTCTTGTGTCTATTTTTTGTGTGTAGTTGTTTTGTTTCTTTTGACTTTATTTCTGATGGTATGGATGGGCTCCAGAAATAGTTAATGAGGTTTGACCCAGAGCATGCGAATGCTTGTTTTAGCGTATATTCATTATTAACTGCTGAAACTGAACATGCTGATATGCTTGCTGTCTTGACATCATTATCTGCACCTTTAAGTTATCTCTTAGGATACATCTAGAGCCTTTCCTGATGTTCTTTATCTAGAAACATCTGCTCAGATAAAGTTTTTTGTGTAAGTGAAGGGTGGAGCCAGTGAAATGCCCTCTGAGATATTGCCAAAAATATTTCTTTCCAATTGTTTTGAGGTTTTGTTGGGGGGGGGGTTGCCTTTGCAGTCCCAGAGCAATGTTCTTCTCCAGGTACTCTGTACTATCAGTCCTGGCTTATTCTCTCTTCTCTGCAGGAGCAGAGAGAGATGTGGTGGTGGGTGTGGGTCCTTGGCAGCGCAAGCAAGGAGCAGCTGTCGAGCAGGAGCACCTCGGTGTGAGAGGAGAGAGAGAAAGAGAGCTCAGCTCCTCCCTGCTGCTGGCCAGAGAACAAACCCGCCTGTGCTGCTGGCTGTGCCATGCTGATTCATGTGCAGGCTGAGACTGTGCGAGCAGGGTGCTGCTGGTGGTCTTTCTGTGGTGTTGCCTACCCAAACACCCCTTTCTCTTTAAAATAGGTCATTCTTTGCATGTTTACACAACCATTCACTTCCTGCAACAATTCAATGTCTTAACTACAGCTGAGAGACAAGTGGAGTTAGTTATTTGTTTGAAGAAAAGCAACACAAAGCAGCCTCCACAGTGCTTTTTTGGCCATAACAGAAAGTGAGATAAGAGAAATTCCCTGTCCAGCACAGTTAAATAAACATGCAAATATAGCTGAGGAAGGAAACAGGCCAAGAAAGCATGCCTGTGCCATCTGGGCACGACTGGATATTCGTGCTTTTGATGAAAAGACAAACAGTGTTGCTTATTAAAGAATCATCATCACGTTGGATCTTTGAGGCTTTTAAAAAGCACTTTGAGGATTATTTTTGTCTTTTTCTTTTTTTCAAATGCCCATGGACTTGTGTGCATTTTAGAAAAGGATACTTTTCAGAGCTGCAGAAGTACATAACTTGCAGTGCAGCTTCAAAACAAAATGTTTATATCCACACCCTTGGCCTGTTTCCTAGCCCTACCTATAAGAAACGTATGGGCCTGTTGTCCATGCCTGCTAAACATACAGTTGGCTTCAAAAATAGGTGTTTTAAGCAAAACAGGAATATTTATTTTCCTCATTGTCTTCTAATGGAAGACCTTCAGGAACAGGTTTTCTTAAGCTTTTTTTTTCCTCTAGGCTGCAAGCTGGAGGTGAGTTTCAGGCTACTGCAATGGCTGAAGAACTAGAAACGTGTAAGGAATCATGAAATGTTGAGAGAGATTGCTAAAGCTCTCAGTTTCTAGCATTTGGGAGCATGAGTTAGGACTCATATCACTGACATCTTTGTCAAAACACACAAGTTCAGCTGCTTTAACGGGACCAATATTGCCAGTGCAGTAGGGTTCTTGTTTGGCAGAAAATATCTGATGTTTTTAACCAGCAAAATAACCCCCTCTACCCCAAGCCCACAAATTCTGAGAAGGTAATTCTACCAATCTA